CCTTTTTAAGTCAGTCATATCAGTGTGTTGCAACAAAGGCGCCATGTGAGAAATGCAATATCCATGTCAACATATTTGCTTGTAGTAACTTTTCTCATTCAGCTGTGGAAGATTTCACAACTCCTCACAAAGAAAGCAGCAGGTTTAAATTTAGAACTTGAGATGCTGAGCTGTGCTTAAAAATACTCAAACTACAACGGGACTTCTTGAAACATATCGTTCTTTAGCTTTACCAGAAGGTAAAGCTTGCCCTAAAATAGTTCCAAAGTGGGGGAGAAGGCCACCTAAAAAGGCCCTTTTTCTTTCTCCCCACACAACCTTTATTTTGACAAGGCTGGGAGAATAGAGTATTTATATATGGGGCTGTGTGCTGTGGTTTCCCCACAATTACAGAGTGGCAGTGCTTAGACTGGGAGGCGTGCTGGAGGTTTATGGAGGGGGACATGAAGGAAGGGACCAGCCCTCAAGAGCCTTGTACAACCTGATGTATCACTCACATAGCAAGATTTCATGCAGAAATATGACTCATACCTAAATTTGCCAACACATTTGACAGAAATGACAAGATAGAGGGTTGTTATTATGTTAAAAGAATGAGCAGGGTCTCTGTTGTAGAAGTCAAACCCTTTGAGCCCCAAGCCTTTACACTGCACCGAAGCTCAATTTCATGTGTTTAGTTGTCGGTCAGTAATGTTTTGAGTGGTTCTGGCGTGGGCTTTAGCTTCTCTTTGTAGCTCTGCTGTATTATGGTTACGATATAAACAAGGAGTTTTGACCCATGCGTCTTGCACAACCGCTGCAAGCCACCTAGAGGAGAACAGTGGGAGTTTGTGTTTGTTCCATGGATGCTCAGAATCTGGCCCCTGCAGGGGGGTGGGGTGGTGGTGGGGGGAGCGGGGTTTTTGCGGTTCTGCTGAGAGGGAGCCTGGAAGTCCGTCAGGGCGGTGGCTGAACCACCTTCTCTCCACATTTGCTCCCCCTCTCCTTCAAACAAGCGAGCACGAGTGAGCGTTACTTCATTTGCTTGTCCTTTCTTTTCGCCTTTTAGTCAAAATGATCCAGAATGATGGCAGGCCAAGCAGCAGCCAAACATATAACACAACAAAAAAAATCTGCTGCCACAATAAGGTAAAATTATGAACTTTACATGCAGCAAGCACAATTGTTTGAGGATATAGATCTTTATTTGTATTTTTTTTCCTCTCTCAACTGCGTTTTATATTGCTTCAGACTTGCTCTTGCCTGTCTTTATGTCATGCCAGGCTTTGAAATGTAATACATCTCCAGGCTGTGAGCAAGCCTGTTGTGTCTCTCAGGTAGAATGACAGATACCTGCAAGGGCAAAAACAAACAACCAGAGCCCGTGCTGATAGACACACATACAGTTTGTGCTGGCAGTTCTTTCTAGTTGATGCCTTTTTTTTTTAAAACTCTTTTCATTTCTTCTTTTAGATAGAATTCTAACTGATCATCTGAATCTCCTTGTTCCTGTTTCTGTGCTTGGTCTTGTTCCCACCTACGCTCCGCGTTAGTCTCTATGGCGGCAAAACAAATACGTGCATTAGCAGCAGCTATTCAGTCCCAGAACCTGCCTTTTTCTGCAGACATTAAAGGATGTCATGCTCGATGAGTGGAGACAATGGAGCATTAGGAAGCACTGAACGCTTTGTGGCATTGCTCGCGTTTGTGGTCTGCAGACTTAGGGGGTATTGTGATGTACACACTGTGGTTTCAAGCATAACTGAAAATAAATAGGAGCATTTGGTGATGTCACGTGTGAACTGTTAGGATGCTGCTATAGTTTAACCAGTAAAGGGCTTTCTGTAATACGAGCTGACAGTAACCATACCCACATGTCAAGTGAGGTGGTTTCTCAAAAATATGGTTATTCCAAGAGTCTATGCTTGGTGTAAGAATATTTTTTATGTTAAATGTCCACTTTAATGTTAAGTTATTAGTAAAATATTTTTTATGATTTTATTGGGGATGCTTTAACATGTAAACAGCCTTAAGGTCATGATGAGACACATTTACTACCAAGTTCGTCAAACACTGTAAATTACTTTATGAATGATCTCTTATGAAATGTCAGGAGACGTGTTGGAGAACATGTAGAGGATGACTCTCGGCTATTATCATGTCAAGCTGTAGCTCAGTATTTGTAAAACTGGCACATTTATAGCTATTTTTTTTGTTTGCAAGAGTAAATTAGCTGTGGTAGCCATCTTGGATCAGCCAACATTTCATCAGCTGTAAATGTACATCCAATAATTACTTTCTCAGCATTTCACTATGACTCCAGTAGTTCACAAAATAGTTTGCTAACAGACCGACAAAGTACATGTAAAAACATATTTTTCAAGAGTTTATGTTGTTTCAAAGTAGCTTGAATTGGTGCAAGCTTATTTATATTGAAATTCATTAACGCATTAACGATTCAATTCAATTCAATTCAAAAATACTTTATTAATCCCAGGGGGAAATTATATGTTGTGGTAACTCATCATCCTGGTTTCCTGGATTTATTTCCTGGATCTGATAACATAATCCAAAAACTTAATAAAAATAGCAATACGTTTTGGCAATCACAGTCAGAATGTCTTTTCTTGGCTAGTCTGATTAAAATACACTTCTGTTAAATTTCTTATTTTACTTTTTATACCAAAAACTCAACCATGAATTGCACTTTCTATTGTTTTGAGCATAACAATAATTCTGTGAGCAAACATGTTTGTGGTGCAGACGAGAACAGTGCTCTGTATTCTGGGGTTAACTGGCCAAATGCTCAGGGAATAACAAGTTCTACACTGACAAGGTTTAACCATTTTTTTTCCTGATAATATTTCACAAAACCCCTCTGACTGCAAAGTGTTTGTAATGCAAAACCCAGACAATGTTGTCAGAGGAAAAGAAGCTGGCGCTACTGGAAGTAAGGACGTTTCACTTCGGGACAAATTGAGGTCTCTGGTCGGTTGCTGACGAGCCTGCTGGATTTAAGCAGCGCGATGGCTCAGTGGTTAGCACTGTAGCCTCGTCGCAAGAAGGTCCTTGGTTCAATCCCTGGTTGGACTTGGGGTCATTCTGTGTGGAGTTTGCATGTTCTTCTCGTGCATGCATGGGTTTTCTCCGGGTACTACCGTTTCCTCCCACAGACCAAAAACATGCATGTTAGGCTGCCTTCAGGCCCAGACCTCCTATGCAAAAGAGATCTGTGATCTCAGTGGGATTTTCCTGGTTAAATAAAGGTTAATAAATTAGGTTATAAGTTTAGTAAGTTATAAATTATGTACAGTTTGCTTACAAAATTGTAATGATGGTTTCTTTACTTTTCAGGGGTGGCTGAGTTAAAATTTAGGGGTGCTTGAGCACCCCTAAAAAGAGGTTAAAATCATCATTGCAATCAATTCAAATCTATCAATAAAGAAAAATTTTGTAAAAAGGCTCAACCCTGAAACACTTTGTTGTTTAAATCTGGATAAATGTCATTATGATAAAATAATTTAATCAAACATACAACTGAGTGGAACTTTTCCCTTTTTTTGTTGATTCAACAAGTTATTTTTTGTGTAATTGAATATAAATTCAGATATTTTCAAACCTTTTGGCTTCAGTATATGTGTTATGGCTCGAGGAACCCAGAGTTGTATGAGACCCGGAACGAGACAGACACAGGCAAGTGCAAAAGTGACCGTGTTTATTATTCACAGTGAAATTATACAGTTGTCTCTCTGCAGCTCCTGGAAGAGGAGGGAGAAGGTCAGAGGAGGTCGGCAGGTGATCAGGCAGTATTAATGAGAAGATGTTTTCTTTCTTACAGATTGGAAAATCTCCTTTTGGTCCACTCCGAATCCTAGGAGAGCTCCAGAGGGGGACAAGGCCAGGGGTCCAACTGAACGAGGAAGGCTGGCAACTGGTGGTTGGCAAGGCACGAGGAGAACCAGGACAGAACTAGGGAACCAGGAGGACGCAGGAACACTGGAGACAAAAAGAGACTGGGAAGTAAATTTACTAGTTACTAAGTTACCAGCCGGAGACAACACTACCATTAGATGGTGAAGAGTAACACTGGACTGCAGCCTTATGTAGGAGACGATCCTCATCAGGTTGATGGCCGACAGCTGTTGATAATTAGCGGCCATCTTGGACGAGGAGCTCCAGGCAGTGATACTCTTACAATATGTCCTTTTTTACTTTTTCCAATTTTATATCAACAAATGTTCATTTTGTCTTCATGCGATGTCCCTATCATTGTTTTATTTATATATAAAACAAAATTTAACTCTATTTCCCTGCATATTGTAGATGTAAAATTTACATATATAGGTTTAAAACAAATACTTTTTTCTCAAACTCTGATTATTATACACAAATAAAACATTTCCTGGAGACTTTACTGTCAATGTGAATTTTCCCCACGCTTTGTGTAAAATCATTATGCTGTAACTCATAATTATGTTGTCAAACAAAAGTCTAAGAGTAAAACGAGCACTTTTCCTCTCGGTCGTGATGGAGGAAAAACTGAACGCACTATGTTTTTTTTTTTTTACTTCAGTGACGTGTGACGTTTCCAAACGCAACATGTTCAACAGTTTTTACAAGTTACCATCTTCACCGGTTGACACCAGAGACATAAGTGAAGCCATGTTATAATA